GGGGTCATCCAGGACCCTGGGACCCCACCCACCCCCCACAATAGATTGCAGCAAAGTTAATTAAATAAGTTTCATTCAGAAGACAACAAGTGACAGAAACCTGACTCTCTATCTTCTCACCCCCCACACCCACCCAACAAAAAAAAGCTTCAGCCAATCAGGGGGTCTGTATTCAAACCGTGCCCCTCCTTGCAAAGGAGCCAGGGGGGGAGGTGGTATATCTGTCAGTGAGGGCTTGGGTAGCAATCATAACCTGCTAGACTTTTGCTAGACTCCTGGGATTGAAGACACTGCGTGTACATCACCGGCGACATGAGCAAGAAGACATCCAAGAGTAAGTGGCAGTTTGGGGGCTTCATCCTGATGTGGGGGTCTCTGATTTCTCTCTTTGCCCTGTGATGGGGATTCGGTGCAGTTGCATGTGTTTGCCATAGAGGGAGGGGGCTGTGCATTATGTGAGTTTAATGTGAGGCTGGAGTTTGAAGTGACAGCTGGAGAGAGGAGGGGAGAGGAGTAGGAGGGGGAGAGGAGCACAGAAGTTCCTGTTTCTCTTTGAAACAAAGAAACAGTCTTGTCAGTGAGCAACTTTTTCTTTTCTAACAGCGATCCACATTTGTCTATGTTGCCGATTTTCGGCAGGTGAGGTGATCGGTGAGTATGGGGGGCGATCGGTGCGAGCTCGCCATGTGCGGACAGCTCTTTGTCTCCGATCTCCTCTCTGCAACTTTGCACTCACGTGTGTGCTCATCTGTGACCCGACCCGCGCACGGGACACTCCGATTGCTCTAAAGACGGCTCACGTTTTATTGTCTGTGCGATTAGATCTGCTGGGAACAAAGTTTATACTGCGATCGTCAACTGTCATTGTTCCATCTATTGGCGGGTGGGGAGGCGATGATGTCATGTTTAAAGGGCTCCGAGGTTACTCGAGTTCGGTGTGCGCACCATGGAGCAGGTAGATGGCGGAGCCCTGTGTCCACATGTCCGGGATGTCCTGGGCACGTACACAGCTCACCCCCCCCCATCTTGGTGGTGGAGGAGAAGGGGGGTGAAGGATATCCATTTTCTGGGATGGGAAGAACCTTGCTCGGCTCGGCTTGTTTTGGAGGGAGAAGTTGTCTTTTGCATTTGAACAGACCCAGGCCGTGGGTTGGATTGGGGGGGGGGGGGGGGGTCATTCCTATTGTGTGATAGGTGAGGGGCTGGATGGGATGAATGGGGCTTGGATAACACATTTATTAATTACTCTACCATTTTTTTGTGTTTTTGTTTGGTTTTTGACTTTACTGATTCTGTGTTCTTTTGATCTTTCATTTTTATCTTGTAATATTTTTAATGATGAGCCATATATGCAGCAAAGTTAGTTTTAAAAAAAAGCCCATTTTATTTTCTTCTAGGCTTTTAACATGTTGTTCATGTAACTTTAAAAAAAAAAAAAAATTTTGAAGTGTGACCAAATACTACATTTTCACATTTGGCTTTAAAATGTTCATATGATTTCATAGGAAAAATGGGGGCACACAGTTACAAAAACCTGGCAGGTTCCTCCGAACTCTGACAAAAAACCCATAATCTCAGACAAAATGTGGCTACAAAGAGGTCACAGGAGATCAGCAGCAATCAGATGCAACAATAGTAAATAAATAATTGTGCTGCGCTCCCTAAAAACAAAAAACAAACTGCATGTGCATATATATCAATTTTCAGAAACATGCAATAACCCTCTTAATTGTGTTCCACTAAAAATCCACAAATGCAGCAAAAACATCCCAATATAATACACAAAAAATCCTCATTGAAAATCGCCCATGCATCAAAAAACATCCCAGTGTAATAAACAAAAGTTCTCTTTTTTTTTAAATCAGCTTCAATCAAATGGATTAAATTTAAAAAAAAAAAAAATCAGATGCAACAAACAATGGTGACAGTGGCCCATACCTGTGTAATGCATTTTGAAATGGCCACTTATTTCCACTGGTGACAACTGACAAGTTGTCACCCTGTAACAGGAAGTGGCTGTTACAGGAAGTTCATGGCAGGATCACAAGGGTTTTATTTTTGTGTGGGTTTTTATAATGAAAGCTGCATATTACTAGTTTTTTAATCTGCAGCTTTCACATTAAAAGACACAACAAAACCCTGGTGATCCTGTCTTGAAGGCACTTTATGTTCTAGGATGATACCACTGCCCTTGTCACTCATTTATGCTCATGTGTTGTCACTCTGTCTCAGGATCCAGTGGAAATAAGTGGCCATTTTGAAATTGCATCTCATTGCTGCTGATCTCCATCGGCCTCTTTGTAGCCACTTTTTGTCTACATGATATCCAGAGATATATAAACTAGTAAAAGCTGAATTGTGATTACTTGGACTTTTGCATTTAATAATGTGGTAAAGGGGGATGTGAAGCCTATGTTGGCTATAGTGTTTGTATAGCACTTTGCATTAACTTGTCCCAAAGAAAAGGCAGTTGCCTATAGTCAGTGTTGTAACTGGAAAGTCTGGGTTAACTTCTTAGTGGAAAGCAGGGCTTAGGGAGGAGATGAGGTGAGAACTGGAATGCAAATTTGCACTGAATAGTGAAAAGGTGTATGGACCCCCACCCAGGGAATACAATTGCTATGTTAATGATGTCCACTATGGTGGTAGATGAGGCCAGGGGCTATTTGTCTCAAAATGGCTTCCTATTTGTGAAGGCAACAGGCAACTGGTCTAATGCAGATATTTTACTTGTTAATTAAGATTACTTATTGAATTTGCAATAAATTATACAGAATTGCTATTAAATAACTTAATCCAAAACCACTTTAGTCATAGGCTTCTCTTCATTGGAATCTCAAGGCTCAACTCTATGTATACCTTGCTGTTCATGGTATTCCCAGGGCTCAACCTTATCCATAGTTTGGCCTTTGTGGGATTCCCAAAGATCAACTCTAAATCCATAGTAGTTGCTCTAAAGTGTATTCCCACGGTTCAATCCTATCCATAGAATAAAAGTACTGAAGTGAGCGCTCTTAAAATGTAAACAGCAGCTGAAACACTCAAGGCAACCAAAGTAAAGTAAACCTCCAAAAAATAAAACCATAAAAAGTGCAGTGCTAATCTATCATCAATTGAATGAAATAATACTGTGCATAAATGAGTAAAAATCAATAGTTCATCCAAATATCATAAAATAGTAAAGTTCGAATGAATATAAATAATAGCAGCGGCAAAAATGGATAATCTTCACAGCAGCAGATTGTAGAAAACCAAGGCTTGTGACAGGATCAAATGGTAAAAATGCGCACTCACCCACAAGCGCATTGGAAATGCGCATATAAATATATAACCGCCAAGGGTCTCAGGGATGGGCGGATGGTGAGCTTCCTTCTATTATGGTCATCAAGCATAGGGTAGTAGGATAATCTGCTGGGTCCAGAGGTCCGCTTAAGGATGACAGGTGCTCAGCCTGGGTACAGGGCTCCCTCCTCTGGATACTGGATGTAGTGAGGGTGATCTGCAAGCTTAATAGCTCCAAATAGGAGCCAAAAAACACATGCCCATAGTGTAGTATGTCCACTTTAAACATGTTTATTGCCATTTGCAAAAGTAAAATGTGCAAAAATCTAAAGTCTAAAATCTAACCTGGCCTCCGCTTTGACGCTGTGCTATGCACGAAAGGCCTAAGGAGGAGCTAACTGAGCGTGACGTCATCGCCTCCAGAGCCACGAGGAGGCTTTTAAAGGGGTTAGTGCTGCATACTCTGCAATTTATTTATTGCACACTATCCTGATTTTTGCACATTTTACTTTTATGGCAATAAACATGTTTTAAGTGGACATACTACACTATGGGCATGCAGGGGCGGACTGACCATTCGGAAACTCAGGCACTGCCCGAGGGCCTGGGGTCAGTAGGGGGGGATGAGATGCCCCTGGTACCTTTTTCATAGGCTTTTTTGAATTTGGGCAAGGACACGGGCCCCATGATCCCCTATTGCCCAGGGGCCCCATGAGTTGTCAGTCCGCCCCTGTGGGCATGTGTTTTTTTGGCTCCTGTTTGGAGCTATTAAGCTTGCAGATCACCCTCACTACAGCCAGTATCCAGAGGAGGGAGCCCTGTTCCCAGGTTTAGCACCTGTCTATCCTTAAGGAGACCTCTGGACCCAGCAGATTATCCTAGTACCCTATGCTTGATGACCATAATAGAAGGAAGCTCACCATCCGCCCATCCCTGAGACCCTTGGTGGTTATATATTTATATGCGCATTTCCAATGCGCTTGTGGTGAGTGCGCATTTTTACCATTTGATCTTACCACAAGCCTTGGTTTTCTACAATCAGCTGCTGTGAAGATAATCCATTTGTGCTGCTATTATTTATATTCATTCATTTGAACTTTACTATGTTATGATATTTGGATGAACTATTGATTTTTACTCATTATTTATGCACAGTATTATTTATTTCATTCAATTGATGATACATTAGCGCTGCACTTTTTATGTTTTTAATCCTATCCATAGCATGTGGTGAATGGTATTGCAACTTTTTTTTTTTTTTTTTTTCCATGGGTTCCTCGGGCTTGATCTAATCCATAGTTGGCTCTTTGGTGGGCTCACCCCTGTCCATAGTTTGCTCCTTGTGGGATTCCCAAGGCTCTCAAAGTCATACACGTGTGGAAGAAATAAAATGGGACCTCTTCCTCGGGTCTAAATGGGGAAATATTATCCCATGGTGTAAAGGAAGCCCAACTAGTTTGCTCTTTGACCTGTTCCAAACCAGGGAATGGGTATCAACATTTTACTGCATGTAGGATGACTGACTGATGTGTTTCTAATCGTTTTAGACGCAGCAATGAAAAAGGAGAAGAAGGAGACTCCCTCCGATACTCCCTCCGGTACTCCCGATACTCCCTCCAGTACTCCCTCCGATACTCCCTCCAGTACTCCCTCCGGTACTCCCTCCAGTACTCCCTCCGGTACTCCCTCCGGTACTCCTCCCGATACTCCCAACTCTGATGTTACTGATCCGGAGGAGGGTTGCAGCAGTGATGCAAATGCACCTGAAGCTAAAAAATGCCGTAGAGGAAATCTTCCCAAAGAAGCTGTTGAGGTCCTGCGTGATTGGCTCTATGAGCATCGCCACAATGCTTATCCATCAGAGGTGGAGAAGAACGCCCTGTCCAATCAGACTCAACTCACCTTATTGCAGGTATGTCACCTGAAATGAAATGTGCCAGAGAAATTGCAGGGATGGAATACAACATTTACCTTGGTGATTTTAGGTTGTGGGGTTTTTTTTTTTTTTGCTTATTCATCTTGGTCGAGATTTCCCCCTCCCCCCCCCCCCCCCCTCCGATTTTTTTTTTTCTTTTTCCCTACTACAGCTCCTCAGTGGTTCTTGAGTTGTAATTACAACCTTCGATTGCAGCACCACCTGCTGGTGGAACCTGGAATTGCTGCACTGTAGTCAAACTTAATATGTTCTATAACTAATTGGAATGTCATGCCCTTAATTCTTTCATATTGGCCTCCAATTGTCACTGGTCATTAGGAAGAGGCAGAGGACTTCAGAAGTTGGGGTCTGCTTTGGGAGGCAAGAACCCTCCTACAGAGGGTGACTCATAAAATGTGTAGTCTGCTTTTGGCGACTCAGAACAAGCCTTCAGCAAATAAACTATCCCTGCATAACTATCCCTGGTCAGTTAGTTGTGAAGTATTTACATTTCTGGCTTGGCATGACAGCCAGACTACTAGCATATCCAGAAAGCAGGTGGCAGTCATAGACTGCCGAATGAGTAATTTGGGTCCGTTACTTACTAAAATATACAATGTGATGACAATGGCAGTAGGATGCCATAGTGGGAGGACCACTAAACATTTGAGAGATCCCATTTTCCTCATTGGGATATATTGGTATATTTCACTAGCTTTACTAGTATGAGCTTTATTATTTTTACAATTGTTGGTTTCTAAGCAGTTTCCATTTTTTGTCATTTATAGATATGCAATTGGTTTATTAACGCTCGAAGACGCACTCTACATGACATACTCCGCAAGGATGGAAAAGATCCTGCTCAGTATACAATCTCTCGTAAGGGAACAAGAAATTCGCAAGCACTACATGTGCTCAGCAACATCAAATGGGTGCATGTGGTCCGCAACTGCAAATGGGTGCATGTGGTCCGCAACAGCAAATGGGTCCTTGTGGTCAGCAGCCACAAATGCCTGCATGTGGTCAGCAGCCACAAATGCCTATGGATATCCAACAAATGACCCCTATAGAGATCCCTCAGCTTACACCAGTTGACCGCGCTTCACTGCCAAGCATGTTGGTGGTTCCACCTTTGGCTGCTGGTTTAGTGCCTCTGATCTGTCCTTTTGGGCAACCCATCCATGCTATTGCCACGGTCACTCGTGACCTTCTCATGCAACAAATGGCTCCTGCTATGAGAGCTGAGGAAGCCGGCACTTCGGCAGAGCTGCCCAACAATCGTAGTTGCCTTTCTACAGATGACCTCGTACAAATCCCTCAACCTGGCCCTCCATGCGTTGTCGAAGGTGCTAGATTTAGCCGCTTGGAGATCTTAGCTCATGTTGCTACTCAGTGTATAGCTGAAATGGAGGCCGAGGAGGCTAGACGTGAAGCCGCTCGCTGTGCCCTGAATTCCCTCAAAATTCCACCAGGGATGACGAGCCTAAGCATCCCTAACCATCTACAGTGTTTTTTCTTTCCATCAGTCCAATGCTTTCATACGCTTCCAAAAATGTTTTGTTTTAGTCTGCCTTTTTTCTTGAGGATTTCCATTTAGAGAAGCTGGAATTTGTATTGGATCCTACCCATTTACATTTTTGCACAGAACGCACAAACCCCCAACTTTTTACTTGGGGGCTCTTTGCAAACAGGTCAAAACACCTGCAAATGGGTTTTTTTTCCATTTTTATATAACTTCCAGTACTTTGCTGTTTACGTTTCATTTAGTGTTCAGCCTCCAACTGTTTTGTAGTGTAATTGAAAAGTATATGGGGCAGTACGGCACCTTTGAATCACTATGGGTGGGGTGGCCATATTCATTGAACCATATCTGCACAGTGTTCTAAAAATATGCTGCTACCCCCCCCTCCGCACTTTATCGGTCAAACTGACCAAAGGTCATTCAGCAATGTTAAAGAAGCACTACAGCCGGGTTTTGGAGTAGGCGATTCGCACATGATACATGAACCTTCTCCAACTTGCTTGGCATCTTTACATTGCTGCTTGGTTATTATTCAAGTGTTGTTTGGGGAAGAGGGGTAACTTGTTTTGTTCTTAACACTGTTTTATTTTGTTTTTAAGTGAACCTGTCCTTTTTGTTTTGAATAGCTAGTCTGAAGTTTCTTTTACGGAAGTACAATTTGTACGCTGCTCAAACTAAAAACGTTTTATATACTTGCAGTGTATGCTCGTAAAGAAGAAGAAAATTATTGGATTCTGTGAGTGCTGAAGCATCATTTTGGTGCCAGCCAGGTGACATGCCTGGTGGCCTAATGTTCCAAGGTGCTCAAACTACCTTTTTTAAATTGGCAGCACAAGGTGGTTTTTTTTTTTTGTTTCTGCCTTGCTAAAGTGAATGTCCAGCCAAAACTTTTGGATGATGGGGAAGGCTTGAAACCTGATGGGTTTGTTCTGCTTTCTAGAGAGACTTTCCCTCACTTCCAGGTAGACAGGAAATGAGGGCAAATCTACAACATGGAATATGAGAAGGCTAGAACTCCTACCAGCTTTTCTTTGCCTTCAGTGTCCTTGTTGCAGATCTTCCCTTACTTCTTGCCTGGTAGAACCATTGTCTTGGGGGAAACTTCTCTAATCGAGCCCAAGGAAGCAGTAGAAACCCAACAGGGGGTGCTGATCTTTCCTCCACTCCATGGGAAAATGTGTTTTTTTTTTTGTTTTTTTTTTTTTTTTTTTTGCTGAACATACACTTTAAAGACTGATGAGAATTTGGGCTCCTCCAGTACTGGGTATTTTTGGTTCTGCTCAGAGCAAAGTAGTATTTACTTTTGATTTACACTTTTTTTTATGCAGCTATACATTGCAACTATAAACCTATATTTTGCTAAACTTGTTTGCACAGCTTTGTGTTTTATGAGCTGTGATAGGTCCACTTAAGGATTGTGAAACTGTGAATATGATATTCGGTCACAGTGTATTGACTATTGCATTAGATTGTGGCAGGGATTTTTTTTTTTTTTTTACTTTGTAAATGCTTTGCTGTTCATCTCGATGCAATCAGCAGTAGATTTATATTTTAATAAGGGAAATACAGTATTAATTTTAAATGCATTTCTACCTGCCTTAGCTCTTGCATTTGTAAAGTTCTACTTTAAAGAGCGTAGTCTTAAGTGATGCTGAGAGTGTTAGAACTTTAGTTTCACTAGTGAATTGTTGTTCCCCTACAAAATCACTAGATGGGGCAATATTTACACAAACCTCAGTTCTCTAATGTAGTATTTTTATTCCTGACCTTACCAGTATGTAGTTGAGTGGGACTGGTATGTGAGGTGAGGACTTTCTATGTTTGCATATATTTGTGTGTGGGGTTTATTATTTATTTTTTTTTTTTTAATGTATAACGGGTAATACACTTACATCTCCCCACCTCTTGTTCATGTTTTTTTCCTTTCCTTTTTTATAGAAGAAATAAGACCTATTTTCAGTGCAATTTCCCATTTTTTTTTTTTTTTATATTTTGAGTAGAGTAGCATAGATTAAATGTTTAAAAAGAAACACTCCTTACCTCACATGAATAGGGCTTTTTGTTTTTAAGATTTTGTAAATGTGTGTCATTAGATTTTTTTTTTGAATAGTTTTCAGAAGTTTCAACCATTTTTTTTTTTGAAATTCTGCTTGGGATCTGAACAATTTTTAAAAATGACACCAAATGGACAGCCAAATAGAAGTAACGGACTCGATGGAATTATTAAAAAAAAAAATAAACACGGTTTTTCACTTTTTTTTTTTTTTGAAGCTATGTTGGGTATCTTCACATAATAAAAATGTTTATGGTGCCAAAACATGAATATCTGGGTATGATCTTACACAATTATCATATCCTAACTCTACAGAGGGCTTAAAGCAGAAGCCTAATTAATTTGTAACTTTAAGATTTTCTTTTGTGTTTTTGAGAAAAAAAAAAAAAATAAAAAATCTCAAATAAAATTGCCCATTTCGGGCTGAATCATAGCTTTTGAACACCTGCAGCCAGGGCTAGCTGATTGTCAGTAGAAAAAGTGGCATCTGCCTGTACCATTTTTATCTCCTATGTCCTCTGCCTTCTAATGACATTACCTTTTTACAGGGCAGGCAGAGCCAGCAAACTTGTGGCGTGCTGTCCAGATCTCAGGGATATCCCTGTGCTGAAATCTAGGCTATTAAATATATGTGTGTGAACTATTTACCTGCCAAAAGATAGACAAATCTATTGAACTAGTCTTGTAATCATTGGTCTCCGGGTGCTGAGGACTCTTTTTATAAATTTAAAAAGCTTTTTTGTCGTACCAGCTGTGTTTTGAAACTACATTTTATTATAGCCCAGTCCTTAACTGGATTGAAGCCCAGTCCTTAATTGGATTGAAGCCCAAATCCCTGGTGCATCGGATGTTTTTTTTGTTTTGTTTTATGTTTTTAGTCTTGCAGTTCTTCTTTAAAAGCAGCCACAATGTGAGTCGAAAATCCTTTCCTCTGCCAGTGTGCCCCAGAGAAGGAGCTTTGTTCTCTATGGGGAAACTGTCCTCCTCTATAGCATGCTGGCAGGGGATAGGTGTCACTGGTGGCTTTTTGTTTTCACCTGGAATATATTTCGTGGATATAAATTGAAGTTTTAGGGCCGGTTCACGCCATGCCCACATCTGAATAGCACAGGAACACGCTGTGTGTGTGATTCAAACCGTATGCTAAGATGCGCTACATATGCAATCTGCAGCAGGTGTCAATGAAAAATCAGTTCCTGTATGATTTGGATGCGGGTATGTTGTGAACAGGCCCTAAGTGTTGGTGACGAGCAATGAGCTACCTACCTTTTTCAAGCCAGTGGCACTGTAGGTTTTTTCCAGCAGTAAATCACATGGAAATGTATCGGGGAATTAGTCACATGATTTCTGTGGAAGACTGATGTTCAGCTGGAGCTGGTCATTTGGCAGCTCTGAATTCTGACTCCTACCTTTTTGTGTTCAACTACCCATGGCCAGTTCTCTGTAATTTTGTCATGATTGGCACCAGAGAAGTATTGGAATAGAGGTCTGCTTTTTAAGATGTGACTGTACCTCCTAAACTAGGGTAGCTGGCAGTTTGGAGCTGTTCTATAAAGCTGACTTTCATTTCCTCCACTGCGCCTCAGTCATCCTTTAGAAATATAGGAAATAAGCTATATGTATACTGTTGTCGAATTTTTGTTTTTGCTAAAAATTCCCCAGTTTTGAAGGCATGAAGTCTACTAAATAGGGTTAATAGGTGCAGGAACTGACCTGCTTGCAGTCCTCCAGTGCCAAATATCTGCACTGCTGGGAACACCTGTGCATGTGTTTTGTGAACATTAGATTTGTATTTCACACACTGCTGGTACTTTATTATTGGGGTTGCCAAATGAATGCCTAATTTGGAAGCCAGAGAACTTGCGTATTTTTTTTGAACAACTGTTGCCAAGCCAGTTTAGATGACATTCCTGTACTTCAGTTAAATTGGAATTACAACCAGAACTTTTTTGACATGGGTAGGATTGCAGCCTTTTTTTCAGGTTTTTGTTGCTGTTCCTGTTTTTGGAGAGTTTCTATCCCAAGTCCAGTGAAACTATAGGAAGTGATGGGACAGATACAGTAAATGTGTGTTTTAGGTAAACTATACCCATGTCTTTTCCAATTCCAGTTGCCTTAAGTGTTCTGACTTTTTTTTTTTTTTTTTTCTGATGTTGTAGGAAGTGTTTTCTTTTACATTCCCTGGCTTGGCACTTCTTGCGCACTTTCTAAGCAAGTGGCTTTTACGACAACTACAAGAAGTTTTAAAGCCACAGATTGCTAAGAAAATGACCTCTTCCAACTAACTTTTTTCCAAAATATTGCATATACAGGTGAAACTCGAAAAATTAGAATATCGTGTAAAAGTTCATTTTATTTCAGTAATGCAACTTAAAAGGTTAAACTAAATATGAGAGACTCTACATGCAAAGCAAGATAGTTCAAGCCATGATTTGTCGTAATTGTGATGATTATGGCTTACAGCTCATGAAAACCCCAAATCCACAATCTCAGAAAATTAGAATATTACATGCAATCAATAAAACAAGGATTGTACATAGAACAATATCGGACCTCCTGAAAAGTATAAGCATGCATATGTACTCAGTACTTGGTTTGGGCCCCTTTTGCAGCAATTACTGCCTCAATGTGGCGTGGCATGGAAGCTATCAGCCTGTGGAACTGCTGAGGTGTTATGGAAGACCAGGATGCTTCAATAGCAGCCTTCAGCTCTTCTGCATTGTTCGGTCTCATGTCTCTCATCTTTCTCTTGGCAATGCCCCATAGATTCTCTATGGGGTTCAGATCAGGCAAGTTTGCTGGTCAATCAAGCACAGTAATCCCATGGTCATTGAACCAGGTTTTGGTGCTTTTGGCAGTGTGGGCAGGTACCAAGTCCTGCTGGAAAATGAAGTCAGCATCCCCATAAAGCTCGTCTGCGGAAGGAAGCATGAAGTGCTCCAAAATCTCCTGGTAGACGGCTGCGTTGACCCTGGACTTAATGAAGCACAGTGGACCAACACCAGCAGATGACATGGCTCCCCCAAATCAACACAGACTGTGGAAACTTCACACTGGACTTCAAGCATCTTGCAGTGTGTGCCTCTCCATTCTTCCTCCATACTCTGGGTCCTTGGTTTCCAAATGACATGCAAAAGTTGCTCTCATCAGAAAAGACGACTTTGGACCACTGAGCAACAGACCAGGTCTGTGTTTTCTTTAGCCCAGGTAAGACGCTTCTGACGTTTTGTTGTTCAGGAGCGGCTTGACTAGAGGAATACGACATTTGAAGCCCATGTCCAGGATCCGTCTGTGTGTGATGGCTCTTGAAGCACTGACTCCAGCCTCAGTCCACTCCTTGTGAAAGTCCCCAACACTTTTGAATGACCTTTTCCTGACAATCCTCTCCAGGCTGCGGTCATCCCTGCTGCTTGTGCACCTTTTTTCTTCCACACTTTTTTTTTCCACATAACTTTTCTATGAATGTGCTTTGATACAGCACTTTGGGAACATCCAACTTCTTTTGCTATTACCTTTTGCGGCTTTCCCTCCTTATGGAGGGTGTCAAAGAGGGTTTTCTGCACAACTGTCAGGTCAGCAGTCTTTCCTATGATTGTGATTCCTACTGAACCAGACTGAGAGACCATTTAAAGGCTCAGGAACCCTTTGCAGGTGTTATGGCTTAATTAGCTGATTAGAGTGGGACACTTTGAGCCGAGAATATTGCACCTTTTCACAATATTCTAATTTTCTGAGATTGTGGATTTGGGGTTTTCATGAGCTTTAAGCCATAATCATCACAATGATGACAAATCACGGCTTGAACTATCTTGCTTTGCGTATGTATGAGTCTATCTCATATATTAGTTTCACCTTTTAAGTTTCATTACTGAAATAAATGAACTTTTGCACGATATTCTAATTTTTCGAGTTTCACCTGTATATACTAAAAAAAAAAAACAACTTTGCAACCACTGACAAGTAATGCAAAATGACTGTATGCATGTTTATTTTGTTTTTTATTTGGGGAGAAGGGAGCTCTTTTTGTAATGAGGAAAATGTATTTTTTTTTTTTTTAATTTTGTTTGATTTTCTGACTGAAAAACCAATCTTAAGGTACTGTTTTTTGTTTTTGTAATGTAAAAGCATTTTCTGGAGTTTCTTTATACCTGATGTGAAATAAAATTTGAGTGTTTGCATACTTGTGTTTTCTCTCTTGTCCTTTCATTTTGTATTTATTTAAAAGGTCTATTACCTAAAATTTTATGAAAACCATGAACTTCTCATATTTGGTCTTCTGTAGTCTTTCATAATGTACATCATGTCATGGGGTGACAATGCTCCTGCTTAGATTCAGTATAGTGAGTGAGCGTTGTTACTGGTGGGATCATCAGATGACTGGGGAAGAAACAAAATTATTCAGCTAATGCAGGTAAGCTGAAATATTACACTTTTTTGCTTTTTGGGCTAGATACATGTGCTGAGTTTCAGGTAAACCAAGAAAGTTACATTCACATTAGTCCACTGTATATCTCTTGGAAAATATGGGGACACTGCTTTGAGGGACTTCAGAGACAAAAGTACTGATCTGAAGACAGAGGTATCTACTAGTTTACCTTTTAGGAAACTGTCAAATTTATAAGGCAAAAACCACAGACAATATCCCTTCTAATAACAACCTAAGATAACACTGTTCTGCTATATATGACACAAGTGACAAATTAAATACAACATTTTGAATATTTGTATATCTATGTTCACCCAAATAGAACAAGTAAAGAAAAAAAAAATGTCCATAAAGATCCTGAAAGAAAATGGGGGTTCCTTCTGAGAGTGTAAGACACATCTCTTCCTTTCTCAGCGGTTTATCAAAGGTGTTAACTTCCACTGTTGCCCAGACTGGTATCGGGATGCAGGCTTACCAGATCCTTATGACCCCCTTGCTCAGAGTGGTTATAGAGCGTTCAATCAATACTCACGGACGTGAATGGTAACTTCAGCATATCCTAACATGTCCAGTTTTCCAGCAGTAAACACGTCTTCCACAACATCTAACATAAAAGTGCACTTGCATGCACATAAAACAATGTGCATTAAAATTAGGTAACCAAGCCAGCTTGCGATGTCCACTTACGGTCACACATCAGTAGGCAGCTCTGTCCTATGCGTACGTCTTTAGACTTCAGTAGGCAGCTGCTGTCCCTTTTTGAATGCGTTTCTGCGCAACAGAGGTCTTTCGAGGTTGCAGACTGTATTAAAACCAGGGTGACGGGAACCTAGAGCAGTGACACTGTCACAGAGCATTATTCATCCACCCATTAACACAAACAATGGGGGCACTACTCCCACAGATGCCAATGATGGGGTACTAGTCTTCCCACTGACACCAACAATTAGACATTATTCCTTCCACTGACATAAATATTGGGTCATAATTCCTCCCACTGATGCCAATGATGGGGCATGATTGTTGCCACTGAGGATGGGGCACTGTTGTCCCTCTTACAGCGGTGATGGGGCATTATTCCTCCTGACACAAAGTACAGGTAACTTTTTTTTTTTTTTTTTTTTTTTTCCCATAGACCATCAAGCCTGCATTGTTTACACCCACTTATGCCAATAAATACTGCCAAAATTCATGCCCCTTCCAATACCCCAAAGGACTGTAAAAAAAAAAAATAAAAAATTCCAACCTCCTAGAAAAACACAAGTTAGAATATAGGGGGGGGGGGGGAGAATCATTTAAAGTGCTGCATAAACTGATATATATATATATATCCTGTATAATACTGCCTTCCTTTACACGCACATTAACTATAATGGCACTCTAGTCTTGGTCTGTAGGGTTCAATATTGAGTTGGCCTGCCCTTTGCAGCTATAACAGATTCATCGCTGCTGGGAAGGCTGTCCACAAGATTTAGGAGTGTGTCTATGGTAATGTCTGACCATTCTTCCAGAAGCGCAATTGTCAGGTTAGGCACTGATGTCGGATGAGAAGGCCTGGCTCGTAGTCTCTGCCCTAATTCATTCCAAAGGTGTTCTATCAGGTTAAGGTCAGGACTCAGCCCAGTCAAGTTCCTCCACACCAAACTTGCTCATCCATGTCTTTGTGGACCTTGCTGGATTTTGAAACCGGCAGGGGCAATCCCCAAAAGTTGGGAGCATTAAATTGTCCAAAATGTCTTGGTATACTGACACCCTAAGAGTTCCCTTCACTGGAACTAAGGAGCCAAGCCCAACCCCTGAAAAACAACCCCAAATCATAATCCTCCCTCCACCAAACTTTACACTTGGCACAATTCAGTCAGGTAAGTGCAATTCTCCTAGCAATCACCAAACCCAGACACGTTTCTTGGAGTGCTAGAGAAGTGTGATTCGTCACTCAAGAGAACACGCTTCCACTGCTCTAGAGTCCAGTGGTGGCATGCTTTACGCCACTGCATTCAACACTTTGCATTGCACTTGGTGATGTAAGGCTTGGATGCAGCTGCTTGGACATAGAAACCCATTCCATGAAGCTCTCTACGCGCTGTTGTGCTAATCTGAAGACCACATGAAGTTTGGAGGTCTTTAGCTTTTGACTCTGCAGACAGTTGGTGTCTTTTGCGCACTTCAGCATGCACTGACCCCACTCTGTCATTTTACGTGGCCTACCACTTTGTGGCTGAGTTTCTGTATTTCCTAGTTTCTTCCACTTTGTTATAATACCACTAACAGTTGTCCGTGGAATATTTAGTAGCAAGAAAATTTCACGGATGGACTTATTGCACAGGTGGCAACCTATCACAGTACCACGCTTGAATTTACTGAGCTCCTGAGAGTGACCCATTCTTTCACAAATGTTTGTAGAAGCAGTCTGCATGCCTATGGGCTTGATTTTATACACCTGTGACCATGGAGGCAATTGGAACACCTGAATCCAAAGATTTGGAAGGGTGTCCCAATACTTTTGGCAATATAGTGTATATATTTATACAGTGTTTGGCAAAAATGAATACACCCCTTTTGAAAAGTAATATTTGAATCAATATCTCAATGAATGTGTGAACAATTTCCACCATTTTGACAAAACCGAGTTTAATAGGATATTTGTTTAGTTCATTACATGAAAGTAAGGTTAATAAATATAACTTAGATTACAAAATCTCCAGTTTTGCTCAAATTCGTTGATACAAAAATGAATACACCCCACAACAAAAATTACTACCATCTAGTATTTTGTATGACCTCCATGATTTGTAAGGACAGCAACAAGTCTTTTAGGCATGGAATGAACAAGTTGTAGACATATTGCAACATCTATCTTTTCACATTCTTCAAGAATGACCTCTGCCAGAGCCTGGATGCTGGATGGAGAGTGATGCTCAACTTGTCTCTTCAGAATTCCCCATAGGTGTTCGATTGGGTTCAGATCAGGAGACATACAGGTGAAACTTAAAAAATTAGAATATCGTGCAAAAGTTCATTTATTTCAGTAATGCAACTTAAAAGGTGAAAAAAATGCAGGCCATAGATGGGTCGTTTATCTGCCGAATTTTCGTCCGCACAACAAATCGGCGATAATCACACCGTTAGTGGGGCCAGCCAGTTTTTCACGAATCTCCTCATTTATTTTTATCGGTCATGTTGGAAAATCCACAAAAAACATCCGTTTTTTGTTGACATTGGTGGCAGCATCGCTGCCAGCAACGACCGATTTTTCGTTTGTCGGCCAAAATTCGGCTGATAAAGGAACTGTCTATGGCCTGCCTAATATATGAGATAGACTCATTACATGCAAAGCAAGATAGTTCAAGCCATGATTTGTCATAATTGTGATGATTATGGCTTACAGCTCATGAAAACCCCAAATCCACAATCTCAGAAAATTAGAATATTACATGCAATCAATAAAACAAGGATTGTACATAGAACAATATCAGACCTCTGAAAAGTATAAGCATGCATATGTACTCAATACTTGGTTTGGGCCCCTTTTGCAGCAATTACTGCCTCAATGTGGCGTGGCATGGAAGCTATCAGCCTGTGGCACTGCTGAGGTGTTATGGAAGACCAGGATGCTTCAATAGCGGCCTTCAGCTCTTCTGCATTGTTCGGTCTCATGTCTCTCATCTTTCTCTTGGCATTGCCCCATAGATTCTCTATGGGGTTCAGGTCAGGTGAGTTTACTGGCCAATCAAGCACAGTAATCCCATGATCATTGAAGCAGGTTTTTGGTGCTTTTGGCAGTGTGGGCAGGTGCCAAGTCCTGCTGGAAAATGAAGTCCGCACCCACATAAAGATCATCTGTGGAAGGAAGCATGAAGTGCTCCAAAATCTCCTACTAGACGGCTGCATTGACCCTGGACTTAATGAAGCACAGTGGACCAACACCAGCAGATGACATGGCTCCCCAAATCAACACAGACTGTGGAAACTTCCCACTGGACTTCAAGCATCTTGCAGTGTGTGCCTCGCCATGTGGTGGCTCTTGAAGCACTGACTCCAGCCTCAGTCCACTCCTTGTGAAAGTCCCCAACACTTTTGAATGGCCTTTTCCTGACAATCCTCTCCAGGCTGCGGTCATCCCTGCTGCTTGTGCACCTTTTTCTTCCATGCTTTCCCTTTCACATAACTTTCTATTAATGTGCTTTTATACAGCACTTTGGGAACATCCAACTGTGACGATCGCAGCCCTTCTCACCAAACTCGTGACCGAAGGACTAGCCAATCTAAAACCGCGCTGTACGTGCGTAAAATGCCATTCCCAGATGCACCCTGCACAAAGATTTTCCAGCTAATGAACCACAATCTGTGTACTTGCAGCCTGGGAGCGATTGTTACTGGGTCAGGTTAATTAGGCAATTAACCCTTCACACTGCCACCACCTCCTTTTTGTACAGAGAAAGATGAAACTCGGCAGTATCAGCAATAACACTATGATGTTTGCATAAGCGTCGGTATACCACTGTCACCGCAGGCAGAGATATACCGAAGTTTAAAATTCTGAAGGACCCTCTGCACACTGGTATACCCTTTCAAGCAAACTATGCAATAAATAGGGATATTTAGTTCACACATATTGCAATACATGCTTAAGCTGGCCAACTGCGTCAAAGTAATCCCTCTATGGCCAGTCCTACTCTGCCCTGCCTACGCAAGTGCTACTGTGGACACAATGCTAGCGTAGGGGAAAAGACACAATGGGGAGAGCTACAAGGTTCAGGTCTGGCTACTGACCCAACAATACAACAAACAAGAGATCCCTGTGCTCAAATCCATACAGCTAGTGCATGCATTTATCCATCAGGTGCTAAAGGGGTGTAACCACATAACACTAGAAATTCTGAAGGACCCTCTGCACACTGGTAGCTCTCCCCATTGTGTCTTTTCCCCTATGCTAGCATTGTTGTCCACAGTAGCACTTGCGTAGGCAGGGCAGAGTAGGACTGGCCATAGAGGGATTACTTTGACGCAGTTGGCCAGCTTAAGCATGTATTGCAATATGTGTGAACTAAATATCCCTATTTATTGCATAGTTTGCTTGAAAGGGTATACCAGTGTGCAGAGGGTCCTTCAGAATTTCTAGTGTTATGTGGTTACACCCCTTTAGCACCTGATGGATAAATGCATGCACTAGCTGTATGGATTTGAGCACAGGGATCTCTTGTTTGTTATACCGAAGTTTAAAACACACACACAGTAGCGCTCTTCAGAGGCAGGGGTTCTTAGTTTGCATTAAAGAGCTTTAGAAACAGTTCAACACTTTCAAAAAGTAAGATTTATTACTAAAAGGTCAAAAGGGTGCAATAAAATATTTACAGAAAAAGATGTAGCCTATATCTATATATCTATATATATATATATATATATACAGAGAGCAATAACACAGCAAAGAGATAACAGAAAGGAATTTAGATAAAGTACTTGCAAAAAGCTTTGGTTTAAGCAGCTTTCAAGCCAAAAGGGTGCTTCATCTCCCAAAGTTGGTTCCGATGTTACAAGGGAGAATCTTCAACTTAGCTCAACTCAGCTCCACTTAGCTTAGCCTAACAGCCTTATTTCTAGGAACTCAGCAGGGTGTCTCCTTAAAGCAGAGAACTAATCGCCTCATTTGGGGAGGGAGTTGTGGGTGGAGGCCCCAGCTAGAACCAAAATTCCTCCCAAGTTGATATCAGGACAATAACTTTCCCTGGATACATATAACATTCTATCTATGAGTAGATTAATACGCAGAATCATCTGCTGAATGTCTAGGTATGAAATATGACATACCTGCTGGGATGGTTAAGGAGATATCATTTTCTGCTGTCAGCTAGGGGGTGTAACCTATCAGGCAACTTGTATTAAAGTGAGCAGTCTGAATATATGTCTGGATTTTATGTAAGTCTCTCATATTCCAAGATATGTAATCATAGGAGAAAGTGGGTCTTGAACATGATGTCTGCTATATGGCTTATCTGGAAAGTCTTTGAACTCAGTGAAGGACTTTGTTTATGGTTTTACGATCGTTCTCCAGCAAGAGTCTCACAGACATAAGGGGGCCAGGCTAATTGGGGTTTATAGCCATGAGCTCTCCTGCTGTGCCTTGATGCCTTTTTGAACTCTGCATCAAACAGACCACATGTCACTCAACAGAGAGGAAAGAGGGAGAGATACAAGATGGAGGGTTTGGAGCAAAATGGATGACCGCGTCCATCTCTGTGTGTACGATTGCTACACCAACTGCTTTTGCAATTACCCTTTGAGGCTTTCCCTCCTTATGGAGGGTGTCAATGATGGTTTTCTGCACAACTGTCAGCTCAGCAGTCTTTCCCATGATTGTGATTCCTACTGAACCAGACTGAGAGACCATTTAAAGGCTCAGGAACCCTTTGCAGGTGTTATGGCTTAATTAGCTGATTGGAGTGGGACACTTTGAGCCGAGAATATTGCACCTTTTCACAATATTCTAATGTTCTGAGATTGTGGATTTGGGGTTTCATGAGCTGTAAGCCACAATCATCACAATTATGACAAATCACGGCTTGAACGATCTTGCTTTGCATGTAATGAATCTATCTCATATATTAGCTTCACCTTTTAGGTTGCATTACTGAAATAAATGAACTTTTGCACGATATTTAAATTTTTCGAGTTTCACCTGTACTTGGCCACTGAATCACTGTTCTTCTTCAGAAATGCAAAAGTGGCCTTGAATGTGTGTTTTGGACCATTGTCTGTTGTAAAGGTGCACCACAACCAAGGGCATGGAGTGATGGTAGCATCTTCTCTTTCAATATAGAGCAGTACACCTGTGAATTCATAAGCAGCTCCCCAACACCAGCAGCACTCATGCAGCCCCACAGAAGTATACTGCCAGCACCATGTTTCACTGTAGGCACCATGCATTTTTCTTTGTACTCCTCAACTTTGCAGTGCATACAGTTTTGAAGCCATCAGTTCCAAAAACATTTATCTTGGTCTCATTACTTCGGAGTATAGAGTCACAGTAGTCTTTTTCAGCATGGGCCCTGGCAAATTCTAGGAGAGCTTTTTAGTCAATGGGCTTTAGGAGAGGCTTCCTTTGTGGACGACACCCATGCATACCATTCCTCTGTCCTGTGCGCTGTATTGTGTCACAGGAAACGATCACCCTAGTTTGGCTTTCTACTTCTTTAGCTAACTGCAGTGAACTTGCATGGCGATTTTCTTAAACCCTTCTCATCAGAAGACGCTCCTGTCAATGTGTTAGCTTCCATGGATAGCCTGGGCATCTCTGTGAGATCGTTGAAGTTCCATGTTTGTTAAATTTTTATATGACTTTTGCTACAGTATTCTGACTGATAAGTAAAGCTTTGCTGATCTTATTGTAGCCTTCACCTTTCTTTTGTAAAGAAATTATTTTCTTTCTCAAGCCTTGTGACATTTTTCTTCCATGTGGTGCCATTGCTGACAGCATGAAATGGGAGGGGTTTTCTTTGTTAAGAAACACCCTTTTATAATCAACTGCTGGACACCTGTTTAATGAATAATGAGACTCATCTGTAGTTGAATTCAT